CTTTATAAGAACTGCAAAAGCAGAAAGAACTAAATCCTAGAAATGCCACAGGCAGTAACCTTAGTCTGAGAGCAACAAAGCAACAACGAGACAACCATATGTCACAGGAGGAGTGTGTCGCAAACCAAAGGGTGGGATGGTCTTTGAGGGTGGCGAATGCAGCCTAGGGGTCGATAAACTCCTAAGGGCATCCACACATAATGACAGGGGAACACATGTCATCAGGCTCAATGAGGGTAGGGAACTGGGAGCGAACAGAACCAATGACCCTAACAGATTTACCATCAGGCCGGGTAATGCTCGACTAAAGGGGTGATCGCTATGGAGGGTCGACCATGCAAGGGAACAAGGGAGCCTGGTACACTGGCGCACCTAAATGAAGCATGCGAGGCTGCCTAACCAGGGCGTGAGGGCCGGCAGAGGGTAGGAAAAAAGATGGGTAAGGTAATTATGCAAATGACTCCTAAGATGGGAGAAGTCGGAGCTAGATCCGTAAGCTAGGAAGCCAAGGCAACGCTACGGTCCCAATGCATATGCGTATACCAAGGGAGAGCCCAACTGAGAAAACCCGGCAACGGGAGACCATCATGCGACGCAACCAGGGTATCGTACAGGGTAAGGTGGTAAGAGAGCGACGACGTTTGAAGTAGGCAGAGCTGATCGTGACGAAGTCCATGAAGCTGTCGATGACATCCATGATGAGAAGTCCGGAATGCCGTCGAGGAAGAGCCGCAACGTCGACGAGCTGAAGTGGCAAAACTGGAGTGGATGGAGTACTGAGAAGTCAAAGACATGGGAAGATAGGTCAGAATCAATCGGCGTATCGAGCAGGACGACGACGAGTGCGCTGTGGACGCTCAGAAGCATCCGGCTGCTGCTGAAGGTCTGCCTCAGATGGACCAAGCTTGACTTCAGCGGTCTCCTCAGTCGGGGGAGAAGGAGAAGAGTCGGTGGGCTGAGGAGGAGCAGTCAACCCAGCACAACGAGCACAGTCATAGACACGCACCAACATGCGAGCGTGCTGCAAGTGCTCAAGGGGCTTCCAAGTATCCTCCCTGATATCCAAGTATCCTCCTCATCAGGGCAACCCTTTCAACGTACGAGATACTCGACATGGGGAGGTTTGTTGTCGGTGACTCGGCGACCAATGATGTCTGAAACGAGGAACTCCTCGTGGCCGTCCACCATGATGGGTGGAGGACGCTCGTATGGTCGTCCAGCGAAACGCTCAGACAGTCTGCGGTAGGGATGCAATAACGAGACGTGGTAGACATCGTGCACACAAGCCTGGCGTAGGTAATCGGGCAGCTTAATATGGAAGCTGACCGGGCTAGAAGCCGTATCATAACCGACAGCCTGGAGAATGAGGCATGGGCCAAAGAATCGACGCCGAAACTTGCGAAGCATGTCCGCTTCAAGATGTAAGTGGCGAGTATCGATAAGCACATCATCATCGACTTTGAATGAATGACCCATCCTCGATCGGTTCGCACATGCTGCCATGCGAGTCTGGGAAGCGGTTATGTGCTCATGCGCGGTCTTCATGATCGACGTCATGTGTGCAACCCAATCATCCAGCGCTAGACAACTCGTGTCGGGGTGCATCTGTGACGGTCGAAGGAAGTCCACGGGAACACGAGGGTGATAACCAAGGTCACAATAGTAAGGCGACATCCCCGTGGCTGACGAGACCGCGTGGTTGTAGGCTATCTCCGCATGGGCAAAATGGAGATCCCACAGCTGGTCGTCACGAACAATCTTTCGGAGAATATCTCCAAGAGTCCTGTTTGTGACCTCAGTCTGACCATCAATTTGGGGATGGTAAGACGAGGAGAAGCAGAGCTAGGTGCCGTAAACCTTGTGGAGCCGTCGCCGAAATCGGCTGGTAAAGCGCGGGTCACAGTCAGATATGATGCTCAGAGGTAAGCCGTGGTCACGCACGACTCGGTCAAACACGATGTCGGCGACCTCACGTGCGCTGATGGCATAGCGGCACAGAACAAAGCGTGCACTCTTCGTGAAGCAGTCGACGACGACCAGGATAGCATCATGACCGCGGGGGATCGGAGGACTAAGAGGATCGATAAAGTCCATCTCGATGGACTGCCAACGACCCTCAGGGATAAGAAGAGGTTGGAGCAAACCATAAGGCAGGTGGTTCGCACTGTTCACCTCTTGACAGGTGGGACACTCTGCAACGTAGTCCTTCACAAAGTCCTTGCGCTTTGGCCAGACGTACAAGCGGCTCACACGAGCCAACATCTTGTGGAAGCCCATATGAACGGCGGTTGCCTGGTCGTGAAATTCTGCTACTGCCCAAACACGTAATTGTCCGTTGGAGGGAACGCAAATACGGGGCTCTCTCGTGCCCTATGAACTGTGCCAGTACACAAGACCGTTGTCCCCGAGAGAGTAGTTCGGGAAGGTCTTGCCACTCCGAAGAGTCGCATGGATGTCGCGATAGTCGGGGCAGTGGCGGTACTGAGTGTGAAACTCATCGATCATCGAGTGGTGGACGATGGTGACCGAGATGGCAGCGAGATGGATCTGATCGTGATCATGGTCAGGGCGCCGGGATAAGGTATCTGCGACCCGATAAGTCGCACCCTTGATTTGTTCAGTGGTGAAACTAAACTCAGATAGGTCGCACCACCAGCGAGCCTGTCGAGGAGTGAGTTTTTGCTTTGTCAGAAACGCCTGGACAACAGAGTTGGCCGTGCGCACTGTGAATGGTGCCCCGTGCAGGTAGTGACGCCACTGCCGAGCGACATAAGCTACTATGAGAACCTCACGTTCATCAACGATGTAATTTATCTCGGCAGGCGAAAAATGACGGGAGTAGAAGGCTATCGGACAATCACCTAAGCGAGACTCGACAGTGCCGTTCTCGATGATGGTAGGAGAATAGTCAATAGAAGGCTCGTCAGTAGCTGGATGAGTAGGCGTCAGGCGGGAAGCAGTGGTAGGGGTAGGAGGTGGGAAGCGAGCGATACGAGGATGAGAGGAATCAGGAGAGGAGGGGAAAATATGAGAAAGCACTGCTCCTACAGCAAAGTCTGATGCATCCGGGGTAAGGATAAAAGGGCGATCAAAATTGAGTAGGTGAAGAATCGGTGCACATGCCACCATCTTCTTGAGGGCGTGGAAGGTGTCCATGTAGAGGGATGTCTAAGCCCATGGCGGGTTCTTCCGGAGGAGGGTGGAGGTAAGGACGTAGAAATAACTAGCGTATCCCTGGATGAAATTACTATCGTAGCTAGTAAGACCTAGGAAGCTGCGAAGCTGCTTGGCGGATGTGGGGACGGGCCACTCCGCAATAGCAGTGATCTTCGCGTCGTCCATGTAGAGACCCTGGTCAGACACGTAGTGTCTTAAGAAATCCACTTTGTGCTGGGCAAAGCGACACTTGCTCAGCTTGGCTTAGAATACATGTCTGCGCAAGTAGTCAAGGACGACGCGAAGGTGTCTAAGATGCTCCTCAAGGGTACGATTGTAGACCAGGATATCGTTGAGGTAGTAAACGAGAACGTACTGCTCAAGGATGTCTCTGAAGATGTCGTTCATCGCCCTTTGGAAGGTAGCGGGTGCGTTGGTGAGGCCGAATGACATCACTGTAAACTCGTAGTGATTGAAGCGCGACCGAAACGCGGTCTTCGGCTGATATGCTGCAGCGACGCGGATCTGATGGTAACCACTACGAAGATCGATCTATGTAAAGAAGCGGTTGTCTGCTGGCGGTCGAACAACTCGTCGAAACGAGGCATGAGGTAGCTGTTCTTAACCGTGTAGCGGTTGAGGCCGCGATAGTCGATGCAGAGACGGAGAGTTCCATCCGCTTTGCGAACAAAGAGGATGGGTGAACTCCACGTGGAGTTGCAGGGTTTAATGAAACTCATTCTCAGCAGCTCCTCAAACTGATGCTTGAGTTTGGTGGCCTCAGAGGTCGAGCGTCGGTAGGGTGCCTGGTGGTGAACACGATAGTCAGGCACAAGATGGATGGAGTGCTCGACGTCGCGCATCGGTGGGATGCCGGCGTATGAGAACGACGATGGGAAAACATCGTGGTACTCTCGAATGAGGTCACGAACTTAGGGCTCCAGCTGGGCCGTATAGCGTGCGAGTTCATCAGCGTCAGCGTGAGACGGCGGGGTGGACTCGATGGACGGCGAAGGGAGGGAAGTAGAGATGGGATCCATGAAGATAGAAGGAGGATGTGGCTCGAGAGAGATGAGCTCGGCGTCGGGAGAGGGTGGATCATAGTGCAAGAGATCCGTAATGTTCACCGTAAAGAAGGTGACGTCGTCCTGTCGGATGAAGTGAGCGAACTGCCAAAGCGATGTGACGGTGATAGTATGAGATGGTCGGGGCATGGTGTCGCGGTGGTACCTATGAAAGGTATGTAAATCTGTCCACACTTCGTTTTGAGAACGAGAGTGTTGGCCGCCCAATCAGCCTCGGTGCTGCGGAATCGACGAGACAACGGAGTACCGAGAATGAAATCATACCCTGTCTCCATCACATCGAAATGTGCAGAGGAGCGGTGATGACGAGACGGCGGGGGACGATTAGTCGGCTCGAGAGTGAGGAAGAAAGGGAGGTCGGTGACCGTCTGATCAAAGAAGCGTCGAGTCTTGTCATTCCCTAGGGTAACAGAGATGAGAGTCGGAGACCCTGTCGTGGGTAAGCGAGCTTCTTTCACCACACGTGGGTGAATGAAGTCGCCCTGAGAACGGGAGTCCCACAACGCTGAGTACACCCTCGTGGAGGTCCCCAATTGTACTGGAATTATCGGGACGGTGCGATCAGGGTCAGAGAGGATGGTGAGAAGGCGACGCAGTACAGCGACATGGAGGGTGAGTCGCTCCTGACGAGCCTGCCAGCCTGGAGCATGCTAAAGTCCAGAAGAGAGGACATAACGTCCTCGCGAGTCGAAAGCTGCTCGCTGCCACGGGCTGAGCGAATGGAACGACGCGTCGGTAGTCGCGGAGGGGTAGGAGGGTAGACGGTGGTCTGCGGAGCGCAGACGGTACTGCGACAAAAGGCTGAGTACACACTGTCGGGTCCTTCGATACCTCAACTCTAGTAGCGGGAGGGGCGAACCTCGACGGAGATGTTTGGAAGCCCACTACTAAGGAGGGTGCAGGTGTACACTGCACCGTGGCTAGGAGGCGCCGCGGGGATGCGAGGCGGCGGAGGGGAACTGAGCACGATGCGGGCAGGAAAGGTCAGCATAGTGGCGGTCGAGGGCGGCGGTGTAAGGGCACCGCGAGAAGGTATGACCGTCCTAGCGGCATCGCAAACACCCACCCCGGCCCAAAATGGTCGCGAGCTCCTCAGCGGAATAGACACCGCAGGAAGGGACAAAGCCTTGAGGGAGGTCCTGCTGAGGGACCTCGGGGGGCGACGCACCAGCGTGACCGAAGCGGCTGAATGCCCGGGAGAGGGCGGAGAGGATGAGTTGGAGGCGCTCGGCCATAGGGAGAGTAGAGTCCTCCAGGTGGTAGTGGACGGCCTCGTCGAGGTCGAGGTCGTCGCTATGGTCACCCTCAGGCGACAGCAGGGCAACAGCGTCCTGCTCACCATACTCGAGCGCGCTGAAGCGGCGCGAGAAGTGGGGGCCCTGCTGCGCGGAATGGCGGGGGCGGCCGCCGAAAGGGGAGCGACGTTGGGAAGTGTCGTGAGAGGAGTAGGGGGCGTTGCCAGCACGTTGAGGCTGGGAGGAGGAAGCGGGGTGAAGACGAACCCACATCTGCTGATGGGTTCTTGCGGCCTCATAGGCCTGCGGGGCCGATGTGAACTCGTACCGCCATACTTCGGAGCATTACTCAAGGGGAAGGCTGGCCAAGAAACGGTCGATGAGGGCAGCCTCGAGGAGGAACGTCACATCACAAATGAGGCGGGCATCCTGAAAGACCTAGATGTGGCGGTCCAGGGCGGCAGCGCCACCAGAGCCGGACCAGCGTGAGCCGTGTGGTGACGACTCGCTCGAAGGCGTCAGTGACGTCATGTCGGGCTCCGAAGCGATCCTCGAGGAACGCCTAAAAATCCATGAAGGTCGGGGTAGGAAAAAGGTAGGATGGGGGTGGATATGGTGCAGGGCGAGGAAAACGAGTCTTCATGGAAGGAAGAGTAGAGGAAGAAGGGGGTACGCCCGAAGGCGCGGCCACTTGTGAGGATGGGGGTGGCTGAAGGCGTAAGAGAGCGAGGTCGGCTCGGGTCTGGGCAAGCTCATCCTCGAGACGTCGAACGTAGATTGCGCGAGGAGTGGCAGGAGGAAGAGTGGGGGAAATGGATGCACGAGCGACGTGGGGCATCCTACAGGGGGGAGAGCCCGGTGGTCTGCGGTCGTGCAAGGGGGAGGGAGAAGCGGGGCACCCGAAAAATTTGAGACCACGACTGCGAGTTGTGGTCTCGTGGCCGTAGTGACCGGAATCAGGGCGGGTGTGCCCGTAGAGTGAGGGATGGTCTTGCACGTGGCGGTCGTCCTGCTAGGAGCGTGGACGGTCACCAGGATGGTCGGGCCGGGTGCGGCAGAGGAGGAAGCTCCGCCATGGCCACCATGTCGGAGGATGGGGGACGCGGACTGAGAGCTAGGACAAGAGAGAGAGTGAGGAGAGGAAGGACGACGTGTGTCCTGGAGTTGTCGCAGGTCAGCGGCAAGAGTCACCACATGCGCCTGTAAGGGCGCAAGGAGGGGGGTGATGAGGGTGTGCAGATCCCCTTGGGGCTGATGACCCTGGTCCGTCGGCACGGGTGCGGAGCCCGATGCCGAGGTCGTCGCCGCCTCGGCAGCTTGTGACACGTCGTCGGCCATGGGGAGGTAACGGGCCGGATTAGAAAGGGCCGAAGGAAGTTCGCGTGAGCATAGGGCGTAGGGGGAGGTCTGCGATAGAAGGTGGCGGGCGACGCTAGTAAATCGAGCACGGGCGCCGTCAAAGGGGGAGGGGTGGTTCGGTTCCAGGGTGCCTGAATGAGAAGGGAAAGTGGGGGGGCGGTTAGAAGAACCTTAAACCCTAGAAAAACCCTAAGAAAACCCTAAGAAAACCCTAACCAGAGTTTGAGTGGTTAGGGTAAGGTACCGGTGGCCCAATCAAGAAAATAAAATAGCAAGCATAGGGGGGGGAGGAGGGAGGAAAAATAAATAAACAGCGAAATTTCGAGAGAAAAATAAAAATAAAGAAGAAAATAAATAAATAATAAAAATAATTAAAAAAATAAGGAAACAAAATATTAAGAGAGAAATAATATTTATTTTTTTAGAATTTTCGGCAGTATTTCCTTACCCCCCATGGGGTCAAGAATGTGCTAAGGGAAAGGAGAGACCAAGAAAAGCACACTGATTTCAAAATACTGAAAATTAAAAATTTCAGAAAAAAATAAATAATAAATAAATAAATAAATAAATAAGTAGATGAGGAGGTAAAGAAAAATTAAGTGTTGGATTTCTCAAAAAAATTGGCAGCATTTCGTTACCCCCGTTGGGTCGAAGTGTGCCGTCAAGAAGAAAGGCTAAGCAAAATGAGAAGATTTTGCCAGCACTTCGCTACCCCCAAGGGGTCAAAGTGTGCTGCAAACGACTAAGTAAACTAAAAAACAAAAAATTTCGGCAGCACTTCGTTACCCCCACGGGGTTGAATGTGTGCCGAAAGCAAGAATGACTACCTCCTAATCAAATTTAAGGGCACCGCAAAAAAAAGTCAAATTTTCAAAATAAAACAAAAATAAAATGAAAGGAATAAGAAAATGAGAAAAGAGGGTGGGAAATAAGATAATTCGAATTTTGGGAAAAAGGAGGAAATGTAAATCAAAAGAAAGATAAAAAAAAGAAAAACAAAAAATTTCAAAGTGGGGGGAAAGGGGAATGAAAAAGTGAAGGAGAAAAGAGAGAAATAGGTGGGAGAGAAAACAAAAGTGAAGAGGGAGATGAGGGAGGTGATGGGTTGTAGTTGGGGGAGAGGAGGGTGAGAGAATGAGAGAGAAAGGGATGGGAAGGGTGGGGAGGATCAAGAAGCAAAGAGAAAAGGGGAGAAAGAAAAAAAAAAAAAAAGAATAGAGTAGAGTAAAATAGTGGGTGGTGGGAGAAAAGGTGGGCTGGGGAGAGGGGTATGAGTGGTGAGAGTAATTAGAAGGAAGTGAGTGAGGCAGAAGAGGAAGAGGTAGGGGGGGTGAGTAAGAGGAGAGCGAAAAGGTAGAGAAAGTGGGTTAGTAGGGAGAGGGAAGAGAATGGGATGATACCTGGCCCTTGGTGTCTCTAAGGGCACAAGGTATACCAAGACCAGGAGGGTCTTGGCCTTCGCTACCGCAAGCCAGCTGGAGCCTGGAGGAGAGAGGGGGCTGAGATCTTGTTCAGCCCCTAGCAGCAGTACTGCAGATCTGCAGATCCAGGGTATGCTGTGTGAGCAGAACCTCACCAGTGTAGAGCAACCCTCTGATCAGGGGGGTCTTCAGTTCCACAGCAAGCTGCCACGTGGCACTGCAGATGGCCACGTGCGCAGGCAGCAGCAGCCACGGGGGAGAGGGGGGGGGGGTAAATAGGTGGCAAGCACCCTTCAACAGCTGCGCGCCGCACTACATAGCCATCAACACATTGTAGTGAGTGTGTTATAGCAGTAGCTATGCACATGCATAGCCAGCAGTTGCCCAGGTTGAAACCCTAGTGGCAATGTGCATCCCAAATCTTGATAATATAAAATCCGAGAGCGGGGCGCAGCGGGGCGGGGCAGCGGGGCGGGGCAGCGGGGCAGCGTGGGCGAGTGTGTGTGTGCAGCGGCCTTGGCCTTGGCACGACGCTGCTTCTCTTTTCGCGCCACGTGGCAGCTTCTTGCTGCTGCACCTTTGTTTTCCGCTCAGACGGCCAAAAAACAGTGAAAAACCCCACTGTCGGGTTTTGCTGTTTTCCCTGCTGTGCGGTGTGGCGGGTGGGAGCGGGGAGCGTTCCCGGTCTGATACCAGTGTGGCGGACCCACCAGGTGTGGTGCTCTGCCTGGGATAGAGATGGAGATGGAGGATGAAGAGTGAGCGAGATGGCACAGCACAACTCCCACGCTAGACTCCAACGCACGTACTCCAAGTGTGCGAATGTAGAATGATCCGGAAAACAGACAACAGCTGGGGTATACCCCAGCAGACTGACGGGACTGGACTGGACTGGCTGGTACCGACAGAAGTACCGCCTGGACTGGACTACCCCGAATACCACACAGGCCTGTGAGAACAGGCCAAGGGGACTGGCTGGTACCGACAGAGGTACCGCCTGGACTGGACTCCCCGAATACAACACAGGCCTGTGAGAACAGGCCAAGGGGATGGTCTCACAGGCCAACCAGAGGTCCGCTACAGCGTGCGAGCGAGAGAGAGAGAGAGAGAGAGAGAGAGAGAGAGAGAGAGAGAGAGAGAGAGAGAGAGAGTCTCGGAGGCCTGTGCGGGGTGCTCCGCGCAGCACGCAGAGACTGCGGGCGTCATGGATGTCTCAACATTTACAAAACACGTCCTGGCGGTGTATCTTTCCATGTTCTAGTGGAAGATTCACTCTCGTTTTGCACATTTCGACAGAGTACAGGACTCTGTGTGTGTGTGTGTGTGTGTGTGTGTGTGTGTGTGTGTGTGTGTGTGTGTGTTTGTACGTCTCCCCC